GTGTGAGCACACCCCCACACGCACCTCCCTCCTCTCTCCAGAAAGTAAAAGAAGGCGTGGTCCAGGAAGAGCACCAGTGGCACAGAAGGCTAAAAAGCTAGAATCCTGTGCTTCACCTGAGGTTTCCAAAACCAGTTTCTATCATTGAAAAGGATACTCAGTGAAGAGCAAGCGTGGACGTGAGAAAACCGCTTTGAGGTACTGACCACAAAGTGAGTTTGGTCTTTGACTGTTCACTTCTATCTTCTCTGCTTCTGCCAAATCATGAACAACTTGAGGACAAGGATTCTGTCCTTGTCCAGTACAGCACTTGGAATATAGTCACCTCTCAGTGTGTGTTTGATGGGTGTTAAGACATCTGCTCCGAGTTTCGCAGCTGATTCATAAAATAACTGAGGCTCAGAGAAAATAAGTTTTTTTGGTTTTTTTTGGTTTTTTTTGTTTTGTTTTGTTTTGTTTTTTACGAGACAGGGTTTCTCTGTATTGTTTCGGAGGCTATCGGTCCAGCCCAGCCTCGAACTCACAGAGATCCGCCTGCCTCTGCCTCCCAAGTGCTGGGATTAAAGGTGTGCGCCACCACCGCCTGGCTGAGAAAATAAGTTTTAAATTCACATAGTTTATTATTAATAAAGCCAGGATAGAAACAGACACATTCGTAGCATAATATGTACCTTACGCTATTGTGTGTATAGGCTTCTGTGATTTATAACAATTATTTGTCATTAATGTTGTCCTTTCACATTTGGTTTTATAAAAACTAACTTACGCGGAGTACCCAGGTTTAATTTTTACTTTTCTCTAAGAACAGACAGAATGCTAAACACAGCCATCAAGTTTGTAGAACTTCTTTACTAATGGGTCAAAAAATTTGTGAAAGAGAAATGGAAGAAACATTTCTCACAGGAAAAGCTGTCAAAGAACCCATTTAGTAGATGGCAGCTCTGTGGTGAGAACCGTCTAATTGTTCTTGACAGTATTCCTGGAGGGTGTCAGAGTCCACCCATGGATCTAACACAGATTTTGAAAAACTGCCTCCTGATGTATTTTAATTGTTGCAACTTGAATTTATATTTACTTTTGCCTAATTATAAAAATTCTCTTTACAGTTAAGTTGTGCTTATTACTCACAATTTAATGGCTAGCATTTTCAACTGCTAATTGGCATGCCACAGATGAACCATGACATTGAACCTCTGACCCACATTCTTTAAATACATATTCTTTGCAACCAGAGGAGCTATTCACGGTCACTCTGAACACGTTTGTTTTCTTTTCCTAAAAGAAGAAAATCAACTCAAGGAAAGTGGTTAAATTTTTTTTTATTCCACAGAAACAACTGACCTAAACATGGGGGAGCTCATGGATCCCAGACTGATAGCTGGGAGACCAGCATAGGACCGACCCAGATCCCCTGAATTTGGGTGTCAGTTAGAAGGCCTGGGCAGTCCATTGGCCTCTAGTAGTGGATCAGTATTTATCCCTAGTGTACGAATGGACTTTGGGAGGCCACTCCACACAGAGGGATACTCTCTCAGCCTAGACACACTGGGGAGGGCCTGGGCACTGCTCCAAACGATGTGACAGACTTTGAAGATTCCCCATAGAAGGCCTTACTCTTCTTGGGGAACACGGGGGTTATGAGATAAGGGGTTGGTGGAGGGCAAGGGAGGAGGGGAGGGAGAAGGAACTGGGATTGACATGTAAAACAAGATTGTTTCTAATTTAAACAAAGGAGCGAGGAGAAAAAAGGAAAAACTTTATTCTTCTCTCATATATTACATTCACTACAGTTTCCTCTTCCTCTCCTCCTCCTAGTCTCTTCCCCCAAGCTCTCCCTCTCCCCAGGGCTCACCCATCAACCTCTCCTTAACCCCCTCCAGAGACATTAACCACAGTATAACAAGACTACAATAAGACCAGGTACATACCGTCACATCAAGTCTGGATGAGGCAACCCAGTAGGAGGAATAGGAATAGGTAAGAGACAGCACCTCCCAGCTCTCACCGTTGGAATCCCACAAGACCACCAAGTTTCTCAGCCATATGCAGAGGACCTAGGTCAGACCTCTACAGGCTCCTTGATCTCTGCATGAGCTCTGGTCAGTTGATTCTCTGGGCCTTGTTCTTGTGGTGTCCCTGACCCCTCTGGTTCCTCCCATCCTTCCTCCCCCCTCCTCTGAAGGACTCGAGTTCAGCCTAATGTTTGGGACTCTGAATGTGAACCCATCAGTTACTGGATAAAGTCTCTCTGGTCTCTTTGATGGCAATTCTGCTAGGCTCTGGTCCCAGAATACTCTGCAGGCAGGACGAGTTGTAGGTTGAAGGTTTTGTGGCTGGGTTGGTGTCCCAATCCCTCAACTAGAGGCCGTTCCTGGTTGCAGAAGATGGCCAGTTCAGACTCTGTGTCCCCCATTACTCGGAGTCGTTTCTGGGGTTACTCTTGTAGACCCCATGGAGTTTCTGTTGCGCCAGGTTTCTACCTCACCCCTGAAATGCCCCCAATTCCAGTCATTTCTTCTTGTATCCCACCCACTTATTCTTCTCTTACCAAACTCACCCACTGCCAGTCCACCCATGAAATTATTCTGTTTCCCTTTCCCAGGGAAATCCTAGCATCCTTTCCTTAAACCCTCCTTGTTACTTGGCCTCTCTGGGTCTATGGACTGTAGCATGATTATCCTTTACTTTACAGCTAATATTCACTTATAAATGAGTAAATATCATGTTTGCCTTTCTGGGTCTGGGTTACCTCACTCAAGATGACTTTTTTACATTTCCATCCATTTTCCTGCAAATTTCATGTTGTTATTGTTTTTAACAGCTGAGTAATACTCCATTGTGTAAATGTACCACTTTTTATTTATCCATTCTTTAGTTGAGGGTCATTTAGGTTGTTTCTGGTTTTTGACTATTATGAATAAATATGCTATGAGTATAGTTGAGCAAGTGTTCTTGTGGTAGGATGGGACATTCTTTGGATATATGCCCAGGAGCAGGATAGATGGGTCTTGAAGCAGGTTGATTCCCAGTTTTTTGAGAAACTACCACATTGATTTCCAGAGTCGCTGTACAAGTTTGCACTTGCAGCAGCAGAGGAGGAGTGTTCCCTTTGTTCCACATCTATGCCACTATGAGCTGTCACTTGTGCTTTTGATTTTAGCCATTCTGACAGATGTAAAATGAAACCTCAAAGTTGTTTTGATTTGCATTTCCCAGATAGCTAAAGATCTCGAACATTTAAGTGTTTCTTGGCCATTTGAGTTTATTCTGTTGAGAATTCTCTGTTTAGGTCTGTACTTCATTTTTAACTGAATTATTTGGTTTGTTGATGTCTGGTTTCTTGAGTTCTTTATATAGTCTGTATATTAGCCCTCTGCTAGATGTGGAGTTGTTGAAAATCTTTTCCCATTCTGTGGGCTGCCGTTTCACACTATTGATGGTGTCCTTTGCCTTACAGAAACTTTGCAGTTTCAGGAGGACCTATTTATTAATTGTTGATCTCAGTGTCTGTGCTACTGTTGTTATGTTCAGGAAGATGATTCTGGGGGCCCCAAAAGAGCACATAGAAAACAACTGATTATCTCCTTCTTTGTTGGGCACTGTGCCTCCATTAATATGGCTTACGTTAAAATTAGTTTTTGGAGAGCAGATCACTGTGTTTCTATTGAATTAAAACTTCCCTCCCCAGGGTTTGAAGGATGGAGTTTAAGTATGGAAGGGTGGTTCAGGAAACAATCCTTTTTGTGTGAACTCTAGCTCTAAACATTTCAGTTAATGCAATGAAAGACTTCTCAGCAGAATGGAGAGGCCTCTGGAGTCTCCAACTAGATAAGGATCATTTCTTATTTGTATTGGCATGCTTTTTTCTAGACTTACCCAAGGAAGAAGTTGTGAACAAGGTCAAATTTAGAACCAAGCCAACTCTGGGCATTAGGGGTCAATGCCCATCTTAATTTTTTAAAGAAGTGCAGTATAGATGGGAGATTCCTGCTTTGTGGGACCTTGTGTTCTGTTGAGAAGTGTCCTCTCCCAAGCCAGACACTAAAGTGTCCCAACACCTTTCTTCCTCCAGTTTTCTGTGCTGACATGGACAGTACATGTCCAACAGTTTGAAAACCTTCTCAAAAGTCTTAAAAAGAACCTTTTGGGACTTTATGAACGTAGTTATTTCCTGCTGTTTATAATCAACCTGCAAAGACTGCACTTTCATCCAGAGGGAGCACCCACTTTAAGTTAATAAAACAAAATCCCGAGCTTATACTGGCAAGAGAGAATTGGTAAAGTATAATTGGGTGCTGGAGCTGACAAGAACATGAATCTGAAGTGTCAAAGTGACATAAGGTGACAGCGAATCAAGCACAGTCATGAAGTAGATGTCCCTGAGCTTCTTGCCCATGGGCTTCACAGAATCTGAGGTCATTTGTGAATGGTTACAAGAACACCCTTTGAGTATGGCTGTCCCTTCCTAAACAGCCCACCTATAAACCGCAGCTTTTATTCAAGCTAGATTCAGATACAGAACAGAGAAGCCCTTGTGTTCATGCAAACTGTGGTTCCAATTACTCCCAGTCATTGATTGGCCATCTCCACTTTCATCTGATAAGTGAGAGTGATGCGTTGAACACACATCAACGAATAAAACAGCTAAGGTCCTTGTGTTATGGTGCTTGCACCGTAGATGAGGCAGGGGTGCAGAAATCGACCAAGTACATACCTGAGTACTAGATAAGGTGAATGTCTTGCAGGAAAAACAAAACAAAATAAAACCATGCAGTCAAGGCTAACGATTCACCTTTCCAGACCTCTTCTCATTCTCCAGTCATCTGGGGAAGCCCAACAAGTGTTGGCAGAGCTTGACAAGTTTAGGTGAATAACATATGTTACTACTGATTGATTGATGAATTGAACTTCCTGAAGATTGAGGGGGAGCAAGTTAATCCCTTTCCAGTGTCTTTGAGGCTCCCTCACATCTTTATGTTTTGTTTTTTCATAAACTCCAGTTCCAACGAGGGTTTCGGGTCTGTGGAGAAGGTCGTGCTGCTAACATTCCTCTCAGTAGTTATCCTGATGGCCATCCTGGGTAACCTGCTGGTGATGGTGGCTGTGTGCAGGGACAGGCAGCTCAGGTAAGCAGTACAAGGGAACCTCTTAGGAAACATGGGTGTCACAGGGATCTCCCTGGAAAGTTGGCTCTGAATAATTTCCATTTTAATTTATCACGTTTGTAGGAAAAGGTTTTGAAAAATAGAAAAGGGATCACACATAATCCTACAACTCCAACACTGACATAACCATAAGAGTATCCTGGGTTAGTTCCATCCTGTCTGTTTATCTATGCTATGCTGCATTTGTTTAAATAGATGCAGTCTCTATATGTATCCTCCTGCTACCGATGGTTCAGTGAAAGAGTCAGTAACTAATGATTAATCTGGGGAATAAACACTGGGTCTACCACATTTTGTACCTCACCCGTGTCCACTGTGGCTATATTTGCAAACACTTGAGATACTTTTCAAAATACTGCTGTATGATATTGGTATGTACTATGTGATATTGTGGAAATATTTATATTTAAAAAGTAACTCATCGTTAAAAATCAAAATTTAGTTGGCCATCCTGTATCTTTATGTAGCAATCTTCAGTGGAGGAGGATCTTATACACCAAGGTTTTTGTCTAATTGATCTGATGTTTGCTAAAATCCACCAGGCATTTCTAGTGTGTGGCCTGAACTAAGGAGCATTGGGCATAAAGGAAGAGATGAGCTAAAAGTAGCTGCTCTCTAAGCAGGACATGCCCTGAACCAGTGAAGAGGCAGAGAAAGTGCAACACAAGAGTTTTCCCTGGGGTCACACACATAGGGCCAAGCAAGAGGTCTCCCTAGTAGCTGTAAGTGGTACATCTTGGCACTGTCTTTGAGGGCAGCATCGTGAGAAGGCTCTCTGAGCATGCCTAAACCAGGACCAGAGCCAGGGTGGGCAGTGATTAGAAGAGTAGGTGGGAAAGAGTCTCAGAACAGTTCTCAATGCACCGGAGGTTTCTAGGCAAGCCAGAAGGGCCAGGAAACAGAGGAAAGGGATATTTAGGCATGAAATGGGTCTGGAGAAGTGAGAGGAGGCTGGACCCCAGAGAATCCCTGTGGCCATGGTACAGAAGGGAAAATTGAGTCTTGTGGATTTTGTTTAATGTGTAATTTTTCTTGTCTCTTCTGCCTCCCTTTTTTCCTTCCTTCCGTTTCCCCTGACTCTTTCCTCCCTCTTCCTTCCCACCTTCTTCCCCACCTTGCTGATACCTTTTCACTCACAGGAAAATAAAAACCAATTATTTCATTGTGTCTCTTGCCTTTGCTGATCTGCTGGTTTCGGTGCTGGTGATGCCCTTTGGTGCCATTGAGCTGGTTCAAGACGTCTGGATTTATGGGGAGATGTTTTGCCTGGTCAGGACCTCTCTGGATGTCCTCCTCACTACAGCATCAATTTTTCACCTATGCTGCATTTCACTGGATAGGTAAGAGCAGAACAATGCACAGAGTGCTACACAGTTGACACCAGTGACCTAACAGATATTACCCAGTGTCATTTTTTCCTTCCTAACTCATCCCACAAAATTAGTATCAAAGACAGATGTGAAAGTTTAGTGATTCTTGCACCAGGCCATTCCTTTTGGAGGACTTCTTTCCAGTCAGGCACTCTTATGGATATTACCACCCAAAGGTTGCATGGTCTAGCAATTGCTTGTATGTTTTACTGTGCAGATAGGTTTCTCAGGCAAGTTTACCTTCATCTTTATATTTATGACAGGAACAAAATGCTAAGGGAGTCGGGTGGCAAGAGTTAGTGCACATGCCCAAGAGGCCAGTTCAGAATGATATCGCTGTGTTTGGATATGATCTTCTCCTAAAATATGACCATGTAATAAAGAAAGTCAGGAAAATGGCATGTGATCATGGGGATTTTTTTCCATAGAAAGTTAAAGTTGATGATGAAATCTCCAATCATTGCTGTTTTAAAAATTCAGTTTACCTCATGATAAAGGTTTTGGAGAGATCAGGGATAACAGAAGCATATCTAAACATAATAAAAGCAATATACGGCAAACCAATAATCAAGATCAAACTAAATGGAGAGAAACTCAATGCAATTCCTCTAAAATCAGGAACAAGACTAGGCTTTCCACTCTCTCCATATCTCTTCAATATTGTACTCAAAGTTCTAGCTAGAGTAATAAGACAACAAAAGGAGATCAAGGGGATACAAATTGGAAAGAAAGAATTCAAGCTTTCACTATTTACAGATGATATGATAGTTTACATAAGTGACCCAAAAAACTCTACCAGGAAAATCCTGCAGCCGATGAACACATTCAGCAAAGTGGCAGGACACAAGATTAACTTAAAAAAATCAGTCTCCCTACTATATATAGAGATAAATGGGCCAAGAAAGAAATCAGAAAAATATTACCTTTTACAATAGCCACAAACAACATAAAATATCTTGGGGTAATGCTAACCAAACAAATGAAAGACCTGTATAGTAAGAACTATGAGTCTTTAAAGAAAGAAATTAAAGAAGATTCCAGAAAATGGAAAGATCTCTTATGCTCTTGGATAGGTAGAATCAATATAGTAAAAATGGCAATCTTGCCAAAAGCAATCTACAGATTCAATGCAATCCCCATCAAGATTCCAACACAATTCTTCACAGACCTTGAAAGAACTATACTCAACTTTATATGGAAAAACAAAAGACCCAGGATAGCCAAAACAACCCTGTAAAATAAAGGAACTTCCATAGGAGTCATCATCCCTGACTTCAAGCTCAATTATAGAGCTATAGTCCTGAAAACAGCCTGGTATTGGCACAAAAACAGACAGGTAAACCAATGGAATCAAATTCAAAACCCAGATATTAATCCACACACCTACGAATACCTGATTTTTGATAAAGAAGCTAAAGTTATACAATGGAAAAAAGAAAGCATTTTCAACAAATGGTGCTGGCATAACTGGATGCTGACATGTAGAAGATTGCAGACAGATTCATATCGATAGCCATGCAGAAAACTTAAATCCAAATTGATCAAAGACCTCAACATAAATCCAGTCATACTGAATCTCTTAGAAGAGAAACTGGGAGGTACCCTTGAATGAATTAGTACAGGAGACCATTTCCTAAACATAATACCAATAGCACAGACACTAAAATGGACAATTAATAAACAGGACCTCCTGGAACTGAGAAGCTTCTGTAAGGCAAAGGACACATTCAGTAAGACAAAACAGAACCCACAGAATGAGAAAAGTCCTCACCACCCCCACATCTGACAGAGGGCTGATTTCCAAAATATACAAAGAACTCAAGAAGCTAGCCACCAAAACACCAAAGGATCCAATTAAAAAGTGGATTACAGAACTAAATAGAGAATTCTCAATAGAGGAATCTAAAATGACTGAAAAACACTTAAAAAAGTGTTCAACATCCTTAGCCATTAGGGAAATGCAACTCAAAATAACTCTGAGATACCATATTACACCAATCAGAATGGCTAAAATAAAAAATACCAGTGACAGTCTATGCTGGTGAGGATGTGGAGAAAGAGGAGCACTCCTCCATAGCTGGTGGGAGTACAAACTTGTATGACCACTTTGGAAATCAGTATACCAGTTTCTCAGGAAAATGGGAGTCTGTCTACTACAAGATTCAGCAATTCCACTCTTGGGTATATACCCAAAGAACGCACATTTATACAACAAGAACACATTTTCAAGTATGTTCATAGCAGCATTGTTTGTAATAGCCAGAACCTGAAAGCAACCTAGATGCCCTTCAGCTGAAAAATGGATGGAGAAAATGTGGTACGTTTACACAATCGAGTATTACTCAGTGGAAAAAAAAAAACCAATGAAATCTTAAAATTCACAGGCAAATGGATGGAACTGGAAGAAAACATCCTGAGTGAGGTAACCCAATCACAGAAAGACAAGCATGGTATGTACTCACTCATATATGGATATTAGACATAGAGTAAAGGACTACAGACTACAACTCATACCACAAGAGAAATTAGGAAACAAGGAGGACCCCAAGAGGAAAACACATGGTCCCCCGAAGAAGGGGAAAGATACAAGAACCCCTGAGAAAACTGGGAGCTAGGGGAAAGAGAGGAGGGAGGTAGGAAAAAGAGAAGAGAAGAGGAGGGGGGGGGGAGAACAAGAGGGATCAGGAAGACTGACACAGGGGGCAGAATAGAGGAGGGCAAGAAAGGAGACACCTTGATAGAGGGAGTCAGTATAGAGTTAGAGAAAGGTCTGGCACTAGGGAAATGTTCAGGGATCCACAGGGATGACCCCAACTAAAAATCTAGGCAGTAGTGGAGAGGCTGCCTTTGATGACCTTCTCCTACAATGAGATTGATGACTACCTTGGTTGCCATCCTAGAGCCTTCATCCAATAGCTGATCAAAGCAGAAGCAGGCACCCACAGCTAAACACTCAGCCACACTCTCGGAACCCAGCTGTAGAGAGGGAGGAGGGATGAGCAAAGGAGTCAAGACCATGCTGGAGAAACCCACAGAAACAGTTGACCTGACCTAGTGCGAGCACAGCGACCCCAGTAGTAAAGCTTGGGAACCAACATCCCACCACTCCAAGCCCTCTGAATATGGATGCCAGCTAGGAGGCTCAGGAAATCTATGGGACCTCTTACAGTGGAACCAGTGTTTATCCCTAGTGTACAAATGGACTTTAGGAGCTTATTTCCTATGGAGGAATACAATTGCAGCCCAGATACACAAAAGAGGGCCTAGGCCCACCCCTCAGATGATGAGACAGATTTTGATGATCTCCAGTGGAAGGCCTCATTATCCTTGAGGAGTGGGTGGGGGTGGGTTGGGGGTGTCAGTGGGGGGCATGGGAGGATGGGAGGGTGAGGGAATGTGGGTATTGATATGTTGAATAAGATTGTTTCTAAAATAAATAAATAAATTTAAGTTAAAAAATTCAGCTTATCATACCCTAATGTAAATTGTAGGGGCTTTGTTTGTTTATTTTGTTTTGTTATACCTCAGGATGCCTAATGGTTCCCTCCTTTGGCTCATTTGTTGGGAATATATGTTTATGAGCCTTTTCCATTCCTGCTCATTTTCGTGGACTAACAAATGAAAGAATATACTTTGAAAGTCAGATGACCCTGAGAGCGTATGTGGCTTAGGCGCTAGAAGAGCAGAAAATGTGGGGTGAAAGTTTGAGCTTAGACTGTGGGGTTAGCATCTCACCTCCCCTATTTACGGACCTATTTCCCCTGGCTTGGTAGAGATACAGTTCTTAAATCAAGGATTTAGAAAAATGGTCAGCCAAAATTAGATAATGATATCTATCTAAAATAGTCACCTTTAAGCAGTAAAATAAGGGCTTCTTAGAAAATTGCTCATCTGGGGCGGGTCCTTGAACTCACAGAGATCCTTGTGTATGCTGACATTAAAGGAAGCCTCCTCTGAGTCACTCTTTCTTTTTTTTTTCCTGACAAGACCACAAACTTGAATTGCCTAATTCTACGCACATATAACGAGATTCCTAGGCATAGATATTGAGAGGTGCACAGTTGAACTGTTGGCCAACAGTAAGATCCACCATGAGTCACAATTTGACATTTTTGTGTCTTAGCTTGTTTACAATTGGGCATCAGTATGTGAAGGTCATTTTAAAGACATTTTATGCTTATGAAATTTCATATTACAGAAAACAAAATATGAGAAAGGAGAAAATACAGGAAAATTCTGAAGGTTAGCCTGTATATCATCATTGATACAATGATCTGTGAGACTAGACATAAGAACTTAGAAAAAAAAATAAGACTGGGGATATAGAGAAGCTGGAAGGCAGTGAGATTTTGGTAAAAACCAGGGGATGTAAAAGAGCCTGGAAGGAAGTAAATGGGAGAAAAATCCATCTTTCTACTGTAGAAAGCAGACAGCTCCCAGACAAGGGCTGTGGGTCTCCCATGGTGGTGCAGGGATTGACTTCAGCGTTCCAGATTTAAGCTCATACTCCCTCATGAACATTGCAAGTGGGCTCACATTGTAGGGAATCAGTTAAGAATTGGACATTAAAAGCCATCTGTTTTAAAATTTGAGTGATTTAACTTTAAATTTCATCTGTCAGTTTTTGCCTCTGAGATTGGCAGAGAGTTAATAAGCTTTTCTAGTCTCAGTTTTCTTTGTCTCAGAAAAAAATGGAAGATAAAGAACTAATCTTGCAGGACCGCAGTTAGGAAGAAATGAGCTAAGCTGCCTGAGGGGGAACATTGTCCATTGTGACTCAGCACTGCCCTGACTGGAAGGTGCTACCCAAGCTAATCATCATCCACCTTACCAAGTTTGGCTTCTCTTAAGACACCAGAGAATCCTCTAAGTGTTCTCCCCATATTAATTTATCCATCTATTTTCATTTACAAGATCAAACAAATGCCAGTCTTCAAAATGGCAACTCTGAACTTTGTTGCTTGTCTGGG